TCAATAAATCCTAGTTTAATGAGTGACTGAATCTCTAAGCTCATTTGCTCTTCTATCAGACTTCTGAAAGGCACATGTAGTTTTGGAAAAAGAAGTACTTTATTATGTCATTTCATTTTTCTGCTTAGTTATTGCTATAAGTTAAGAGAGCAAGTTCCTAGAAAGGAGCTGACAGAAATTACCTTTGAGAAGAAATTTATTAGAAGAAAGACCTTCATGATTCTGAGGGGCCATGGTCAGGCATTGAAGTGGGAGAGCTTTAGATGAGATAGAGTAGCATACCATGGGCAATATGATGGATGGGGCCTTCAAAGAAGGGAGGGAGGGAAGGAGGGAGGGAGGGAGGGAGGGAGAATGAGAGAGAGGGAGAGGGAGAGAGAAAGAGAATATGAGAGAGAGGCTTTCAAAACTCAAATAGAAGCTTCATTAGGAGAGGTAACCACCATGAATAGAATGCCTGGCATCCTGAAGGAAAGAGACTTCAATTCCCCAGAACAAAGGAGTTTCTGACTCATAGGTTCCCAGAGGGGTAGCAAGCTTCATACCATGGGATCCAGCCTGGCTTGGCCTCCATACCAAGGGGCATGGGGCAGGCACTAAGTAGAACTGTAAATTTACCTGCAAGGGGAGGACTGCAAGGCCACAGCACAGCCAGCTTTCTTATCAACTCTCCACCAGAGCAAGAGCTGCAGGGGGTGGCGTGGCCTGATTTCTAGGAGAGAGGCAACTAGAGGGTCTGTGCCCTAACAGTTATGATATTAAAGGTTTGAAATCTCCAGTAAGATTAAAGGAAGATTTGAAATTTGTGTGTTAGTCCTGAGGGAGCAGGGTGTTCTCAAAGTTGCAGAATCACGACTTCAGATTGCTATTGGTTAATCACCACACTCTGAGTACTATTGTTTTGTGAATCTACCTTGGACACAAGCAATGAAGTGAGACTTCGTTATGTGTATCGTTAAAATTCAACTATAAGAAACATACCACCCATCCTTGATCAACAAATCTAAAATCATCAAAGGAGAAAAAAATGAGATTAGGGCTATCAACATGGTTCAGTGAGTAAAGGCACTTGGTGCCAAGCCTGATGACTGGAGTTTGATCCCCAGAACCCACATGGTGGAAGGAGAGAACTGACTCCCACAAATTGTCCTCTGACCTCCACACAGGTGCTATGTGTCTTACCCCATCCCCTGCCACCCCAAAAATAAATAACTGTAATTTTTAAAAATGAGATTAGTCTTTCCTACTGATGACCTACTGATGACCATCTCTTCCAGTGCTTCCAAAATACTGCTTAGATAATTCTTGTTTTTCAGTTTTGACCACATACATCTGAAAGCTCTCTGTAATCTCTATCACTCTTGGGCTACACTTCATTTTATCAGGAAGTAGTCCTCCTACTTTATCAGGAAAATCTTTTCTTTAGAGGAGGGGAGAGCAGACTGGAGCCCAGCCTTCCAGAGTCCTGCCTTCTCTGCTTGTCTTATGATCTTCCTAACTTTGAAAAGCCATCATCCTTTCTCTGTATGACTATGAAAGGCAACCAGGTAACTCACATTTGGTGAGTATGTAACTATGTGGATGAATGATCTGTTGTGAGTCTAACGGGAATCTTGGGATTGAGGGAGTACATTGAGTACATTTATAGGTGACCTAAGGTATAAAAGGTACCCAGAGATGGACAAGGAACAAATCAGAATGATGGAGGTTCAAAGGATGACAGGAAAAGTATCCATGATTGTACTCCTCAGTTTTCAGAGAGGATCATTGACCATAACCCTCCACTTACTTTTAGTCAGTAGAGCACAAGGTTACAAGAACTTGAGCGGTCATCTAGGTCATTTTTGGACTTGTCAGGTCAAATGCCTACTAGACTTTCTGCTTTTTAACTTGAAATGCCCCTAAAGAAGATTGTCTCACCCTTGGCAACCCACTTGAACATGCCCACATTTGATCCCCACACAATCCTTACTTTGTCTTGCCTAAATTATTCTTGTTGTAGCCCAAGCCACTGAAAGAATGAAGTCTCTGTGAGGTAAGAACTGAGTTGGTGGCATAAGACGGAACTGTGGGGACCTGGAAGGGCTACGGCATGTGGCAGGGGCATTTGGGGCAGTATACAGGTCTGTGGGGATTCTAGAAAGTACCTTCAAATAGCTTGCTCTAGAAAGAAGAGGCCATTGGATCTGTCACTGACTGCAGATTCTTCGGCATGGCAGGACTTACTGAACATCTTGACTATGTCCTTGCTTCTGAGCACTGCTCTCCCAACATGCCGAATGGCCATCCACAAGGTGCCCAGCAGGTACCCAGGCTGGGTGCGGTTTTTGTATTCATTGATCAAAAGTAAATTAAATGAATCATCAAGTTAAATCTGGGAGGACAAAAGAATTGCTGACAGACTGGGAAGAAAAGCCACTCAGGAGAACGATGGGCCTTTCTCAGCTTACTTGTTTCAGAGTTAGCTGTAGTTTAAAACTGAAGACTGATCCTATATGCCAGTTGGGTCTGACTCTAAACACTTCAGAAGCTTTAGGTCTCCCAAAGAGGCTCTGAAGTCCATCAGAAGAGTTAAATCCCCTAAATGGAGCTGGCTCATCATCTCAATCTGATGAGATAGTCCTTCATCTCCACATCCTGGCCTTGCACTAAATAAATGCTTTGCATCTATCACCTTAATCCCTGCAGTATTAACACAAGGTGGGTGGCTGAAAGTCTCATGTGTACTGCCCAGACAGAATACTTGCTTTGCTCAAGAACTCAGGATGAGTGTGGGGTACAGACCTGTACCCCCACAGCCTGCTCTCTTAACTTGGTGGCCTCTTGCTTCACAGAGTAGAGAAGGGTGGCTCTTGTTGGTGGTCTATGCTGGGACAAGAGCCCATAGGGATGGCAAAGATGCAAAAATACATGGGAAAGGTGGCTGCCATTTCTGGGCTCTAAAGGAACTTACAGAATAAATGTACAAATCAAAAGTTTGTCATCTGGGTTGGAAAACTGGCTCTGAAAAGCAGGTGGAGGGAGAGAAAACAGAACTAATTTCTGTGCTGGAAGAACAGAGGAGGGAGCAGGATGTAGGAAGGACAACTGATAAGTGGGGGTGATGTGAGGACAGGATGAAGCCGAGCTGGCAATAAGGGAAACACTTGGTGATCACGAAGCTTTGTTTACAGCTGCTCTGGCCTGTCTCCTCCAACCTGCAAACCAGTCTAGAGGAACCTATGACCATTTCCAGAGGCACTAATGACATTTCCTCCACAAATGTCTGTGGTTGGATCAGTCTTATTTTCAGATGATGTAAAATGGGAAGTTATACGACCCAGTGTGCCTGTAAGCCAGGGCATCACAGTGGGCTGTCTGGTCGTTTTAGGTCAACACGGCTAGATGAAGCAACCAGGATGACCAAGTCTGGCAATAATGAAAATAACTCTAGGATGTTGGCTTCTGAAGTGGTGAAGGCCAAATCTGTGACCGGAATACTTTCAAGGCATTGTGTGCCCAGCGAAGACCAATACACGACAGAGTGTTATTTTTGCTCAGCTCTGTGGCTCTTAACTGTGCAGGAGGCAAGGCTGACTTGGGGCTGCAAACCTCCTTCCTCCTCCTCCTCCCACTGCTGTTGCCCCAAGCCAGCCAGTGAGAGGGTGGTCAGAAGTTACCAAAATATGAAGAGGCCTCCAAGAGGGATGGTGAAAGGTCTGGAAACCACCAAAGCTGAGGTTACCCCAAAGGTTCAAATAGGGTTTCTGTGACCCAGTATGACCCAGACAATTTCCTCTTTCTCTGGAGATAGGGAGATCCAAGTCCCTATTGCATCACTGGAGTCTGCCCCAGTTCCCTGAATGGGGGGTTAGCAGCTCCTGCCCTTGATATGCAAATTGAGCCATCTCCCCTGCTGGTCTGTGGGTTTGTGTGGAGGATGACTAATATATTCCTGCCAGCGGCTGCTTATCACTTGCTCCCTGCTAACCCCGGACTACACCCTCTTCTTTGCTCTCAGAACCCCACAGAGGTAGGGAAATAAAATAGTTTTTAACTGGAAATCACTAATTGGGTTCAAAGTTAGGACTTTGGTCTCCATGCTGACCCTAATGCTTCAGTTGTATGACTTTGGATAAGTTGCTTAACTCTTCCTGTATCTCAGTTTCCCCATCTGTAAAATGAAGATGAGAGTGCCCACCTCATAGGAGTATTGAATAAATAAATGCACTTAAAATGTTTTTAACTGGCCTTGTATAACAAGTGAATGTTAGCCATAAAGACAGAGACTCTTCCCTCACTCAGAGGACTGTGGGATTAGATGTAAAGATTTAGACTCTAGACCTGGTTCCACCCTTTACCAAGATCAAGACCTTTGGGAAACCACTGAACTCAACTTCTCTGAGCTTCTCATTTGTAACATGTACTGCAGTACTTATATCTGCCCACTTCACAGACACAGCATGAAGAGAAATGATGTAAGCCAGCTGCCTCTGAACCAAGTTCTAAACAAATCTGCAGGAAATTCAAAAGGAAATTTTCACCTTGGAATGCTGAAAAAACCCGGGCTTGAGACTGGTAGTGGTCAGATGTTTACAGTTCCCCGACACCGACACCGTTTGTGTTTATTGGGATGCTATGTCCTAGTCAATTAAATGTGAAAAGAGGTTGAGCAAATCCCTCTGAGGAGAGGTAGATAAGGAGCAGGCACCTTCTCTCTGTGGACCTCAGGAGCTGTGCTTTCTACGGGTGGCATAATTAGACGGGTCAGAGCCATGTACAAGTATTCTATGTGGATAAGAAATCAACATTATGTCTAGCCACTGAGATTTCAGTGTTAGTCTGTCATAGCACTACCCACCCGTCCCTGTCCTGCTCTAGAAGCAAGGCAGATCATGCCTACCCCAGGAATACAGGAAGCCCACGTCAAAAGTTCCTCTCAAGAGTCTGCCTGTAGTCCAGAGCTCGAGCCATTCTGTGAAGAGCTTTTATTTGGTAAGAAATCTGTTCTCTTAGTGGGGAGAGAACAAATCATTCCTTACAGAAAATTTCCTTTTGCTACAAAATGCGTTTATTTCCAGCAGATAAAATTTTCCAACCGCATACATGGTTACACATGGTAAGATCCATCTTTGCTATAGGCCTTGTTTATATGATCCATTTCTGATAATTAAAGTGTATATCAAACAACCTTCTTTGTCACTGAAAACATAATTTAAATAACAAATGGATCAGCCACACGTGTTCATGACTATGAATGGCATGAAATTCTTCACAAATGAGTCAGTCTGGGGCACCAGTCAGCATGGAGGCATGCAATGGAAGCTTGCCTGTAGACTATGCTGCTGTGGCGGTGGCCCTTCAGTGAACAAGAGAGTGTGTGCAGACAAGGGATGACCTTTGCAACCCGGAGAGGCATGTCACAGAATGCAAACACCATTCAGGTAGATCGGTGGAACCCAGAACACAAAAGCGTCATGAAGGTGACTCTACTGTTTATACTACTGCAGATCAGGGCACCTTTTCACTGGACACTCAATAAATATCTAATTAATGAAAGAGTTAGACAAGACACTCAAGACACTGGCAGCTGTCTTGGTGGCTGCTGTTCTCAACACTGCCTTTTAAGTTGGGAGCTTGCGGGATGCCCAGCTTCAGAGCAAATCATTCTATTTGGAATGCTTTCATTTCCTCAGAAAGACCTTGACATTCTTCATTTGTGTTTAGAGTCTTCTTGTAGACTGTAATATAAGGGGTTCGTTGGCTCAAAGAAGAGTGGAGAGTGGTCCACAGAAAGTCTAGATTTGTCTCGAGTAAAAAAAGCTTGCTGGACTCAGAATTTCTAAGACCTACTTACTATAGTTTCCCACCATCTCTTCTTTTGGCTTCTGTTATTTATTCTAAGCCTGAAGTAGCCATGGAAACTCATAGGTTGAACAGTGTCCATCTTCATAAAAATCTCATTTCAGTATCAACTACTGAAATGTACCATGGCCCCCTCAGGACTTGAGAGAATTGCTCTCTTGAAGTTCTACCCTCAGAAGAGTTGTGAACATTTGCTCCTTGAAGGTGAAGTTGGTGTTCTAAGGCGGATGCTGGGGAGTTCCCACAAAAGAAATTCCTGGAAAATCCAAATTCCCTTTTGATTCTCATTCCCCATAAGGCTATGGTTGCAATTCTGGAGACACATAGGAAAAGTTTCTAAATTCATCCTGGTTAATCATAGGAAGATGTCCCTCATCGATTGGAGTTAAAACTGGCTCTTCTTTTATGAAGTCTGGGTCAAAGTTGCTGACATCTTCTCGGGATTTCTGCCAAAAAATAGTAAAAAGAGTAAGATTATAGGTACCTGGGCTTTTGCCTCTTGCATGGGCCTCAGTCCTTTCCAAGAAGCTCAGAGAACTAACTGTTCTGCAGCATCATTTACAGTTCTTATCACTGTGATGGAATGCTCAATGACAATTCCAGAACACTGCATTATTATTGTTATTATTATTATTATTATTGCCTTTGGCAGCCACCAAGTCTCTCATCCCATCAAGATCTTGCCAAGTGGGCCAGCCTTAGACTGGGAGGCTAAGGAATTCATTCAGTCATCCAAACTAGCTTACTCATTCACCCTTTTCCCTCCATTTCACTGAGGTACCTCTTCCCAGCAAGCTTCACTGAGGGGCACATTGACTCAGATTTGTTCATAGAGATTGAATAAGTTCATATTTGCCTCATCTAGTGCTCTACACAGTTCTATACACATTAAAAGATGTTCTCAAAGAACTTCTTGGCAGGGTGGAGGTTAGGGGAAAATTGCCTGTCCTATTACTCACTAATCAGGTATATTATGTCCTGCTGGGCTCACCATGAAGATGGGACCATGGGTACTAGAGTTTCCCTGATCCCAGAGGAACTGGTATGTGTGGAGAGGGATGTCCGTGGAAGGAAACATCCTTCCCTCTGGCTGCTGGGCATCCAAAGCTTAGCAGACTGGTATAGATTAAGCTCACTATCAGTTTGGAAGAGGTGTGTAATTCACATCTTTATGAACTGATGCTGAAGATAACATTTTCATCATTGTTAGACATCTCATTCCTCTTTCCTAAATCAATTATACTTCTCTCTCCACCTTCAGACCACATCTCCTCCCTGAAACTCTTGATCTATTGCTTGCCTGGCTTCTCCGCCCTCCCACTATGGATCTCTCTTGATCCACAGATGAACAGGAACTTAGATCACAGACAGTGAGGTGGGTCACCCTCTGGAGTGCTACCCTCTCAGCTGCATGGGCTGGAGTGCTACCCTTGGTATCCTCAACATTTCACTAACAGAGCTTTGCCTGTCCTAGACTAAGCCCTACATCATAGTAGCTATGACAGATTTTGAGCCAAGGAGACAGGCTCAGTGAAGGAGCATTTTGCACTCTCTCTACTTTCTTAGGGCTTGGGAAGGGCAGAGATTGCACCCCATGAAACATGAAATGGACTAGGAATAATGACATCAATTAGCTAAATTCTTGGGGCTGGAGAGACAACTCAGTAGTTAAGAGCACTAGCTGCTCTTGCAGAGGACCTGGCTTTGAATCCCAGTACCCACATGGCGGCTAACAATTGTCTGTAACTCCAGTTCCTGTAAATCCAGTTCCGTGGGCACTGCATGACACAGGTACACTTATATACATGCAGGAAATACACTCATATACATGAAAATATAAAAATCATAAATAAAAAATATATATATTTTTAAATACCTAAATTCTTCTAGGAAAACCTAAAATATCTGTGCTGGATAGCTTTATTTGTCAACTTGACACACCTGGGTAGCACGACCCTCAACTGAGGAATTTCCTCCCTTGGACTGGCCCGGCCATGTCTGTGGGACGTTTTCTTGATTGTTGAACGATGTGGGAGGGCCCAGCCCACTGTGGGCAGTGCTACCCCTGGGCAGGTGGTCCTGTGTTGTATAAGGAAGCAGGCTGAGCACAGGCCAGAGGAGCAAGTCAGTAAGCAGTGCTCCTCCATGGTCTGTGCTTCAGCTTCCACCCTGACTTCCCTCAATGATAAACTGTGACTTGGGATGTAAGATAAACCCTTTCCTCCCCAAGTTGGTTTTGGCCAGTGTTTTTAATCACAGCAACAGAAAGTAACTAGAACAACATTTTAGGCATCTTTGATGCTAGAAGATTTTAATTTAGGTTAAGGGAAGATGGAGCTAGGGTAAGCAAGAGGTTAAAACTTTGTGATAAGTAATGTAGACACATGCAGAGATGTCTTGGGGGTAACCAGTTTAGCCTCCCTCTATAGAAGGGACTGACAAACTTCTGTTCTGTCATTCCACGGGAGACAACAGCTGCTCTGTGTTGCCTTTGGTCATCTGAATTAAAAAAAAAAAAAAAAAAAAAAAAAAAAATCCAGAAGGCAGACATGCAGTAACTCCACAGGAATAGAACTTCCTGCATTTGAGATCTTTCTGGACCTCATCTGATATACCTT